AAATGTAGCTGTGTTTAAAGTGTGAAAGTTTTATTTCAAGGGTAAATTGAGATAAATGTAAAACATTTTAAAAAATAATTTTTATATTTTAGAAATTGTTTTCAGTCAAAACGAAGACTGAATAAACACCCAATTTAAAAACAAAATTTATTTAAATCAACTGAATCATACTAAATATTTTTCTGAAAATGTACAGTTTTAGCATTCAATGCCCATTTCATTGCCACTGTAATGAAGTAGGAACCCACTTCATGCATGAGATGTTTAGACTTGTTAAGTTTTTAAATGCCATTGAGTTGGTTCCAACTCTCTAACGACCCTGTCTAGAGTTTCCAAGACTTTAAATCTTTGTTAGAACAGAAAGCCTCTTCTTTCTCCTATGGAGTGACTGGTGGGCTCAAACCACCGACCTTACGGTTTGCAGTCCAATACTTATCCTATGAACCTGCATGTATATAAAAATTGAAGAGTATAACAGATTGTTTATTATTTTAAGAGTTCTTAAGCTACCATGGGCAATTGTGAATACCATGACCATCTTTTAGAACTTTTGGAATCATGACTTGAAATAGGAAGAACATGGAGACGAGAGAGAGAAGAGGAAGGGATGGTTGGTTCAAAGTGTGGTGAGACCTGAGACCTGGGGACACCTGAGCCTATGGACAGGGACACAGCCACAGAGGGCTACAGCTGACGGTGAAGCATCCAGTGGATATGAAGTGAGGGGAGACTTGAAATAAGAAGAAAAGATAATGGACACTAGGCAGGTCTCTTGCATTTACACTATCAGAGTGGAAGAATTTAACAAATAATGTGTCTCTTCTCTTACCTGAGGACTTCTGACGTTCAAATTCTACCTGTACTTCAAAGCTGTCCACGAGCTTTACAGGTTACAGGTCATGCTATGCTAACACTAGGTCCTGAGTGATCAAGTCTTTTATGTTCATCAGTAAATACATGTGTCCGTGAGCCGAGGGTTCTTTAAAACACAACACATGACCCTTGTGTAATGGACTAATCCAAGGAGTTTCCCTGTTTAGGTTATTATGTGTAAATTACAGGTGCCATTATGCAAAATAATTCTGCATGTTAGTTAAAGCTGCAAAAATGTTTACAATAGAATCTTTATGATATACACAATGGAGAGATGTTACTAACAAATAAATAATGATTGTTACAAATACAGTCTCCATTACTCTGGTTGGTGATTGGTCCATTTGCAATGACCCTTAATCTCCCATAAACGATTCTATTTGGGGAGAATAAAAAATGATTGCCAGTTTATATCATACCTGGGAAATACTGAATTAAATAAACTTACAGATTTCTTTACTACAGGGTTCAGAGTCTTTAACATGCTCACATAAATTGTGACTTTCCAAGAGGGATATGAAGCATGAAGTAGTCTCAAAAATGTTTTGACCACCAAAACATTTTTCATGAAGTTTTATTAGTATCTCACAGAAGCAATGGCATAAACAAACATATGCTTACCTATGTTCATTAACGCTTTATCCACAATAGTAAATAAATGGAAATATCCAAAGTGTCCATCAACAGATTCATGAATAAGCAAATTGTGACACATACATACAGTGCAACCACAAAGAACAATGATGAGTCAGTGAAACACACAACATGGCATAATACTAAGTGAAATAAGTAAAACATATAATCCTTCTTTTATGAGAAAATAGCAATAGATAAACATAGTAAGACTAATGTTCATTGGTGGTTACAGGAGCAGGGAGGAGAAAGTACTCTTTAGATCATAAAGCAAAACAAAACAAAAATCAAACCCATTGCCACTAAGTTGATTCTGATTCATAGCCACCCTATATAGTGTTTCTGAGACTGTAAATCTTTATAGGAACAGATAGCCTCATCTTATTCTCATGGAACAGCTGGTGGGTTTGAACCACACACCTATGATTAGCAACACAACACCTAACACAACACCACTAGGACTCCTTCTTTAGACCAAAGAGACTTGTTATTTTTGATGATGTCCAAAGTGGTACCCATTGTGAATGTAGTGAGCACAGCATACCGAAACTAACAATGCATTTTTGAGCACATATGGATAGGTATAGGCAGATTGCTATACAGGTAGGTACAGGTGTGTACGTAGGTAAGAACAGATAGAAGTATTTATTGGTATGTGTAAATACAAATATGTGGGTATAAGCACATACACTCATTGAAGACACAAATACTCCTCAGACATAACCAAACACCTTCCAAAATTGGTTTTCTTGGTTTGAAGGCTTAGGAACATAGTCTCATGGGACAACTTTGTCAACTGGTGTAACAGTTTGCAAAAACCATGTTCTGCATCTTACTGAAGTGAGTAGCATCTGGGATCTTACAAGTTTTTGAACGGCCATCTAAGGCACAACTACAGGTCTCTATTGGCCAGGAGAAAACCAGTAAGAAGGTCATCAAAAGTGTAGAGAAGAAACAAGTCTGCATGAATCACAATCTCAAATAGTCTGAGACCAGAAGAGTTAGATGGTGCCCAGCTACTCCTACTGATTATTCTGACCAGGTTCACAATAGAGAGAGAGCATAGGAGAAAATTGTGGAACGGAACTCAAATTCTTATTTTTAAAAAAACCCAGCCAAGCTGAAACAGTAGAGAACAGAGGACTCTCAGAGACTATTGCTCTAAGACATTCTTTAAAGCTAGAACTGAGTGTATTACCTGAATTATCTTTTAGTGAAATAGCACAGTGGTATACAATATGAAGGACATTAGCCATAAGACTGATGCCCTACTTAAAAATTATCAGTATGTAACCAAAAAGTCAACAATTACTCAAAAGCAAAGGTGAGAAGATAAGGGAGCAAGGGAAACTAGAGTACTACAAAGGGAATAAACGGAACACAATGAAAGAAAATGTTAACATATTGTGACAAATGTTATTGAACAATTTGTGTAGGACTTGGCAAATGGGAACAACCTGCTGTGTACACTTAGACCAAACACTAAATAAAATATGTTTTTTAAGTCTTAAAACCAATGAATTGCTCTGTAAACCTCAATTCACAATAAAAAGTTAAAAAATAAACAAACTTATGGAACACATTTTCAGAAATCCTGAACTACATTAGGCCATCTTCAGTAGGTATCTCCAGGGAGAGCCATGGTAAGTAGAAACCATAAAGGGAGGAATAGAGGAATTACTGTCAAACCCGCCGACTCCCAGTATACCAACATGTCACTTTGTAGATGACATGTTGTTTGAGTAGTCAGCCACTGGTCTAAAGTCCCGGAATTTTGTGGCTTGCCACTTGCCACTGTGAGTTAAGCATTAGTGCTGTCCATTCATCATGACACCTTAGCATGGGCTCTAAGTTTTAATCCCTGACATTCTGGAATGTGTCTTTCTGGTAGCAAGTCTGATGCCAGGGAAACTTTTGTCCTAGTAGGCAGTGGCATTGTCCCTCTGTGTGCCTGATTCCCTTCCATCTAATAGACACATGGAGCACAGTGGTTCTGTAGGATAAGCACTGGTCTGTGAATCATAAGATGAGACTTTCTGCTCCTGCAAAGATTTGTTGTTGTTGTTAAGTGCCATTGAGTCAATTCCGACTCATTGGGACTCTGTATAGGGTTTCCAAGGAACAGCCTCGGAAACTCTATGTTGTTGTTGTTAAGTGCCTTCGAGTCGGTTCCGACCCATAGCGACCCTGTACAGATATAAGGTGGTAAATAGTTGGAACCGACTCCACGACACTTAACAACAATCGCTTACTTCATGGAACCTCCTTAAGATGCCTAGTATTAACAACAATCGCTTACTTCATGGAACCTCCTTAAGATGCCTAGTATTAACAA